AAAAACAGAGGAAAAGAAATGAAAGAAGAAGTAGAAGAAATAGTAATAGTAGTAGTAGTAGTGTGTTTCTACTAGCAATTAAAATTCTATTTTCCATTTCTTTTTATCTTAGGAGAACTGTGACGAGTCGTGGCGAGTCAGACGCGACACTACGAGCGTCTTAATTAGTCCAAGCTAATTAAAAAAATAAAATAAAATTAAAAAAAAAAAAAAAAACAGTAGCCTGACGGATTATTGCGAAATGCGGTTTCTAATCAAGACACCAACAACAAAAACAAAAACAACAACAGCAACAAACAACTATTTCTGAAAATTAAATTCTATTTCTCAAGAAAATTTTGTTGTTTTTACGCGTTGATGAAATATCATTTTATTTTTTTTAAATTATACTATGAACAAAAAAAAATATAAATTGTGTAAGGAATAATACAGGTTGATAAAAATGAAATTATTTAATTATTTACAGGTATTAATATCGGGATAAAAAATCGTCTAATATTGAAATTGAAATTTTGGATGAAAGGATGTAAAAAAAAAAATTAGTAGAAACGTTGGACGTTTGTTTTTGTTGAGATTTTCTTAACGATTATTAAAAAAAAAAGGAACGTTCCTTTTGTTTTTTTTTTCATTTCTTTTTTTTTATTAGATGAAAATTAGAAATCAAGGAGAAAAGGGGAAAAGGGGGAGGAAAACATTTTTATCGATTGAACTACGATCAGGGGTGGTGTATTAATTCATAATGTCGATAAAATCTTACGAACAAAAACCGATCCCGTGAGAACGTTGTTCGCCTATAGCAACAAGAAAAACAGCTTAAGGAAATTATTATTATTATTATTATTATTATTATTAATTATGAAAAATCGTGCTTCTTATATAATCCGAAGGGTTTCTTATCGATAAAATCGCGTGACAGAACTACCCCTCTTTGGTGATTCTTTTTTGTAAGGAAAGATTTGTTATATTTTATAACTAACACGAAAAGTTTTGTTGAAATAAATCAATTCTCTTTCAGATTTCAAATCTGTCTTTCTAACTTTCTTACGTGTATATATGTGTGTGTTTGTTTATGTGTGTAGGTGTGTGCTTATCTATTTATATTCATTTTTTTTATATCAAACGAGATACGGACGACAATTAATAATATACTACGAGTTAACGAGCATATATTTTTTTTATTTATTTTGTGTTTCGTTTTGTTCATTTAACTTTAATCAAAAAAAAAAAAAAATAATAATAGAAAAAAAAATATATTCCGTATTTTATTAAACTCATATATTCGTGTATTTAATTATTTGAATGATTTATTGATTTTTATTATTATTTTATTATTATTTTATTCATTTTTATTTAATTTAATTTTTTCCTCTTACTATTATACCTTTTCTTTTCCTTTCCTAGTTTTTTTTTTGTTATTCAGTCCTCTTTTTATCATCATAAAATTCATTTTTAACGATCTCGAAAATGTATCTTGAGCGTTATCGTAATCGCGGCGTAATTTATTTATTTATTTATTTATTTTTTTTTTGTTAGAAAATCGATTTGTTTTTTATTTTTCTTTTTTGTTTTTTTTTTAATTATTCGATGGTACGGAGAAATATAATAATATTTTTGTAACTATGGTCCGTCCGATTTGAAAACACTTAAACACACTTTTCCCGTTTTATCTTATGAGATAAATTGTGTAAATTACACGATCGTATTTACAAATGTTGATATACATATTACAATTAATTTTTTTTGTTAACTATTATAAAAGTTTTCTTTGCTTTTCTTTTCTTTTCCTTCTTTTTTTTTTTTTTTTATTCTTATCGCTGCAACGATTTAAAACTGAGCGAAATGTTAATATAAATGAGAAAACAATGATGTCTAAAGTCAGTTGAAACAAAATTCGCTGTAAAACACGTCGAATAGTATAACAAACAAGATGTACAAACAATTTACTAACAAAATTTTAACAAAAGAATGGAACTTGGTTTGTAAAAAGTTTTAGCAAAAGAATAAAACTTAGTTTTCAATGAAGTCTCCTCTAACGATATTATATATTTGTATGTGTGGTTTGTTTGAGGGGGTTGGTAAATTGTTATAAGTGTAAATATTTGATTGTTTAAACATTTTAAAAAAATTCCCTTTTTTCTTTGAATTCTTTTTCTTTGGTGACAAGATATATCATTTTAAAGCGTATTCGTATAAATCGAGTTCCATTTAAAGGTACAGAAGTAAAGTTGTGTTTGTATGTGTGTTACTCAAGGAAGAAGAAGAAGAAGAAGAAGAAGGTGAAACGACTTTTATCGATTTTTCCCATCTTTTCGTTTCGATACTCCAGGGATATATACGCATTGATACGTTTTCTTCTTCATACTTTTTATTCAAACGATTCTTCCACTGAAGATCTCCCTAACATAAGCTTCGTTCTTTCGGTGGTTGATAACGAAAAAAGATAAAGAAAAAGAAACCCGGTAAAAAGATGAATAAAGGGAAGAAATAAAAAAAAGAAAAATGGGCTAAAATATGGACAAATTTGCGAAGGGTGGAAAAATGTTGCTAAATTTTCAAATACTTTGACGACGTGTTTACAGCGGGTTTTGTCATAGTAAATTAATAATGTACGTTTCGTACACCTTTTATATATATATATATATATATATGTATGTATGTGTATGTATTTTTATGCAAGTCATATGGTGTATGTGAAAATTATTTGAATCGTTTAGTGATAGTGGTTGGTGTAGTAGTATGTGAAGAAATATAATATATAATAAATGAATTGTGGCAGTATTCAATTTAAAAGCAATAATTTCTCATGCTAACTTCCGGAACGGGACTCAATGATGGGGGTCGTCCCTCACGAGGGACAACCCCTTCCTCGTGTCAGCCATAGTAATAGCTTTTGGTATTGAGGCTTCGTGGTGGATTTTCCGTGCGTAAAATCGTATGAAGATTGTCCGTGCCAACCATGTGGTTACCCAGATCAACCCTGACACCCGTCGTCATCGTCGTTGTCGTGCCAGTTGCATGATGAATTGGCGCCGTGTGAATGCTGTTAGGCGACAATGGTATCCTAGTGTCTGTGTAATATCGTTCGCTACCGTGAAGTCTTTCTGCTAATTGTGTTTCAGGTATTCTGAAATGATAAAAGTATCATCAAATTATTTTATTATTATTATTATTATTATTATTTCTAATTAATACACTTGAATTGTCTTTATTTTACCAATCGTCAAAACGTGTCAAGTGTTTTGTATTTGATTATAGATTTTTTAAAACACCAACCATCAAATTATTTTTTTTTTTTGATTTATTATTTAAATAGTAAGTTTAACTTGTCAATAATATTTATATATATCTATATGATACTAAGTATACTACTACTATGATATGAAATATTCGCGACAAGGTATATCCATTTGACAAATTAGAAAAAATAACAAACTTAAAAGAAAAATGTCTGCTATGCTCGTCGTTTTATTTGAAATATGATTTTCCTTTCTGGAATGTTTCTTACATTCCATCAAAATGGGATTAAATTAATTTACCTGGTGTCCTGCATCGGGACAGGAACTGGTGTGGTTAGATCGATGTTTGCATCGACCTCGGAGATGTTGTCGGTAAATGCGTTTGGTAGTGCATCGTTGTTTGCGTGAAACTTTGCGTCACGTTTAGCACGATGTCGACTCAACAGAAGTTTGCCAATCACCAAGCCCAAAAATACGAGTACACCACCGGATACGGACACGATGATGTAGAGATAAAATTTTTCTTGATTGTCTGTGTGTGGCCACATGAAAAAACAAAATTAGAAAACAAAAAAGATCAAATCATGTATCATTCGAATTTATATATATTTTTTTTTTCTAGGGGATGGAGTGAGGGAGCATTTTTTTATTTTGTTTAAAACAAAACAGAGAAACTTTTGTGCAAAATACCCACGATAGGAAATTGGATTGTGGTCTAGGGGTTTTTTTTCCGCGACTAAAAGAATATTGCATGCAATTCAACTAGAATATTTTTCATGCTCATTTATCGATCAAACTAACAATCCGTGTTTGTAGAACCATGGACCTGCGCCACCGGCTTTTATTCAACAGCCATCAAACAAAAATTCTATCGATTGATTCGAGCCAAAATATAATTTATCCCATTTCAGAAAAACTTACGAACATGAAAACACCGAGCGATCATGCTAAAACTATGATTTGTTAACTAGAAAAAATAAAAAAGAAAACTACAAATGCCTAGTAGGATGCAGTTGCATTCTAATCAAACATAACTTTGTTTTAAAATGAATACGTGTTATTTAAATAATTGTGTTTACTATTTTTTCTCTTTTCATTGTCTTAAATTATTGTAATTATTATTTTATGAATAATTTGTGTAGCATATGTCCTATTAGTGTACCGATTGAGTAGTTTCTTCATTTTTCTAGTGAGTTTTTCATGTTTGTATCGATTGAGTAGTTTCTTCATTTGTTTCTAGTGATTTTTTCTTCTGTAGGAATTTACCTTACCAATACTCGCCGTAAAAAGAAGTTCGCATGGATTACCAACCAAGTAATGGTCGTAGAATGGAAAAATTTGCGAATGTACTTACTTGATATGAATGAGTAGGCATTGATCCATTCATTGAGATATCCAACAACCATACGATCCTCATCGGGAACTGCATAGACGACTGTAGTACAGTTTGACGGTGATACCGTCGTAGGTAGGGCACTACTATTACCACCCTTGTTGTTGCCAAAAATCATTCCCGTGGTTACCACGGCTGATAAGGAGGACATGCCATTTTCTTTGGTTATTTTTCCTTCTTTACCGATCGAGCTTAATTTGTTCAACGTGTTCTCCACTGTAGTGGCCGAGAAATATGTGATTATAAAACGAAAGAGAGAAAATGTAAATGAAGAAAATTGTGATTGACACAGAGTAAAACAAATAGTGAAAAGTAAGATGTGGATGTGTAATACAAATATAGTAAAAAAAAAAAAAACTAGGTGATAATAGACAATGTACAATTGAACACCATCGTTGGTATACAAAAATAATAGTTTTCTTTTGTGTTCAATGAAATAGAAATTATTTCGACGAGATAAATGAATTATTTACAGAGGAAGCATTGATGCATTTTACAGTAGGGATGATCCGCCACCATTTTCTCTTTATAGAGGATTAATCAATTTTTGAATTAAAGCTCTATTACGTTTACAGGAAGAAATTTTTAGCTTCGCAGTTGATGATATTAATTAGATATCATTCGAATGAATTTTGCATGAGCTTTTCTCAACAAAAATGAGTTATTAGAGCAAAAGAAATTATTTGTAAAATTAATTTGATGAATGAAGAAGCAAAAAAAAAAAAAAATAAAATAACATGATCATCCCTTAAAACGTGGATATAATCCAAGTAGTCAAAGAAATGTGACGATGAAAGTAAAGTTTTTTACAAAATGGTACTTTGATGTGTCAAGAATATAAAAAAAAAAAAAAAAAAAAAAAATGTACAATAGTGTCGGATATTATCGAGAATTTTTTTTTACAACTAAAACGTTCTTATAAGGAGAAAATTAAGACACGTAAGAAAAAAAAAAAGGAATAAAAGAGGGCAAAGAACAAGTTTTCCCTTTTACTAGGGACTTTAACATGACGTTTAACATACGAAGAAGATCTCCCAACGTAATCTTTTGTCAAGTATAACCGGGTAACGTGTTTAAAGTGAACGTGAATGTGTAATTAGAAATGCAAATTTTCTTGTGCCACATAGAAAAGGCGAGTGTCGAGTGTTTCGTTCGCAATTTCAGAGAAACTTTCAAGCCTTTGCGCTTTTCTGCATATATATATGCACATGGTACTTTTATATATATATAATATATATATGTGTTAGACGGTCAACCGTAATACATAAATATAGATAAGTTTAATTTGTTATAAAATTTGACTTACTTAAATAATTGTTAAATATCGTAGAGAAATATAAAGTGTGACACGTATCGAATAATTCCATTATATAATACAATTAACATTCCCCTAACGTGTCACAGTTAAATTACCTTAAAATCACGAATAATGCTAGAGAGAGTGCGCATGCCAAAAATTTCTCCCCGTTGCTGGCATCGCATAACGTTGAAAGAGAGACAGAGAGAGAGAGAAAGAGAGAGTGAGGTATAGTAATAGTAGTAGTAGTAGTAGTAGTAGGTACTTACATATTTACATATACATACACGATGCATTTTATCCAATACGCTTGCTTTGCAAAATCAGCATGCATTATACAATGAAATGAAATTATTTACAACAAAATAAAATATATAATAAAATTCTATAGAGAATTATTTAATTCTTTTTAAATTGTAAATTTGCAAAGTTTTTTGTGACGAATAAAAATAACAAACAAAGGAAATTTATCTTATTAAATTCACTAGGGTATTTCGATTTATATTCTCGGGGTTTGATATGAAAGAAAAGGAGAATAAAAATAAAAGAAGAAAAATGAACGAAACAGAAATATATATATACATACACCCTTTTTCACCTTTCCCTTCAGTGATTCAACTTGCAAAAAAAAAAGTGGAATAGTAGTAGTAGTAGTAGTGGGTGCATACAACCGAAGGTTTAAAACCCGTTGCTCGTCTCGACGAAAAAAATTCAAATGCACTTTCGGCCGATTGCTAGCAAAACGAAATCGATGCTTTCTCGAAAGCCCGGGGAAAAAGGGATGCTCGATGAAGGTGGGGGCTGGGGTTTGTGGGTGGATTGAAGGAAGTAGGACCTCAAAGGACGCATATATCGTCTCCTTTTCATAGTGCTCTTGACTTTTGTAGGAGGAAAACGATTACCTTTCGCCTCGGAACGTCGTAAAATTTATCGAGGATCGTTGGTAGGCGACAACCGAACGAGAATACTTCGATCGATTCCCCTCACCCCTCTATCTCTCTCTCTCTCTCTCTCTCTCTCTCTCTCTCTCTGACTATTGCGAGATTTAAAAACATTCCCTTTCTCCTGTAGGATGCTTGCCTTTTTCGATCTACATCAGGGGATACTTTTTCTTACGAAAAAATCTTATCAAGGAGAACACGCTCGGACGAGGTTTGAGTTGAAGTTGGGGGATAAGGGGTAAGGGGTGAGGGGTAAGGGGTGGGTGTTAAAGGTAAGGGATAGGAGAGAAGGAATTTTATACTCTTTCCGTTCGTAGATTTCAAAGTATAAAACGTGGTGGTGGTGTTGTAGGAAGATAGAAATGGGAAAAGAAAAAAAAAAGAAAATAGAAAAGAGAGAGAGAGAGAGAGAGAGAGAGAGAATAAGAAAAAGAAAAATAAAGTAAAGAAATTATAGAAAATTAAAAATAGAAGAAAAAAAAACATGTGTGCATGTCACTCAAGTTAGAAGTGAAACCTTTAAAAACAAAAGTTTCGATATCTTATAAGAAAAGAAAAAGAATAATCTTTCGATGAGGAAAAGAGAGAGAGAGAAAAAAAAGAAAGAAAGAATTAATGGAAAGCATTTAGGGTTATGAAAACGATTTCGATTCGATTAAATCGGATTATCTAATCACCCACGAGCGAGTGATTATAAGAGACGCCGGAAATTCTCTCTCATATTACTCTCATTTCTTTCTTTCTTTCTTTCTTTCTTTCTTTTCTTATAATTTCGCGGGGAAGAAAATATTGGAAAAGTTTGCTTTCACCAAAGATAGGAGCGAGGGAGATCGAAAAGTTCCTAGTGGGATAGTTACTAGCAAAAATAGAAGAGAAAGGTCACAAAAGCAATGAACGATAATGTGAAGTTTCACGAGGAACATTGGCTGCTGCTGGTCGTTGCTAACTTTACCCCTCTCTCTACTCTTTTACTCCCATGCCACCCCTTCACTCATTCTCTATCTCTCTCTCTCTCTCTTTCTTTCTTTTTCTTTTTCTTTCATTCCCTAGCCAGTCTTTAATTAGCGTTATGACGCTAAATTCTACGGGCCGATAAAGTTAAAGCTCGATCAAGTGGAACGAGTCGAGCGTTTCCGCGACGAGCTGCTGCTGCTGCTACTGCTGCTGCTGTTGAGGGGGGTGGTAGTAGAGAAATCGTTCGTAAAAAGATTCCAGGAAGAATATTCCCTATTTTTGTTCTTTCTTTTTATGTATTATACACACATTTATCTATTTATCTATTTATCTATCTATCTATTTTTGTATAATATTAATCTTTCTACTTCTGACCAATTTTCAAAATGAACTCATAATTATATTTTAAAGTCATATAATTTGAAAAAATATCATTTACAAAGTGAATATAAAAAATTAAACAAAGAAAATAGTAGTTAAATAAACATTTAAGGGTGGGTAGGGGTGTGAAAAAAGCATATATTTTCAATTACGTATGTTACACAAAATATATTCTATCCTGTGAAATAACTTAATAGAAAATTCTGTTTGTATATTCGTAATATGGATATCAAATAGTTTTAGGGGTGTGAAGAGGGTGGTAGATTGAATTCCAAACCGCTAAGATAATTCAAGATTCTAATTAAAAGCATATATATCAGTAATAATAATAGTAGTAGTAGAGTAACAGAATCGTGCAACTTTGAGTAAAGATAATGATGTAATAGATTCCAACTGTTAAGTGTAAACCCCCATACGTAGATAGATAAATAAATAGATAGATAGATAATAGAGAGAAAAGCAGGAAGCAAAAGAGATTACCAAACGATATTTTACTAACTATAAATACAATATATATTTTACAAATGAATTATTTAAATGATGCAAAAATTTTTATTTATCATTTTTGATAAAGTTTGGTTTTAAATTTAAATGTAAATTTTTATTTAAATTGTTCATGTAAATCAAATAAAAATTGTACTATCATTTTAAAAAAGAAAATAAGAATTCATTATGATGAAAATTCAAGAAACTTATTTATAGAATTCATTTGAAAATATATAGGTATATATATATATATTGCAATTTTCGAGAGTATGACAATTTTGTCAGTTTACTTCTATTCGAAATTGGCGCCAAACGTTTTGTTAGGACGCTGGGTGATGATGGTTTGGCACCGAAACCAATATCAAGCGTGTTCTTCTAGAAACCTTATCCAATTTTACAAGACGATCGAAACTCCCTTTTGCCTCTTTTCCCTTTACTAACACACCCCTCTCCTTTTCTTTTCTCATCCCTTTACTTTTTGTGTTTTTCTTTCGTCCAATTTATACCGACGAGAAGACGAAAAGAAAAAAAAAAGAAAACCAAAAGAAAGAAAGGGTAGTTGGATTCTTCATATATATATATATATTTGTGTATGTATGTGTGTGTGTGTAGCAATTTTTCGTAACCCCCTTTTACACCTTCTTCTTTTTTTCTTATTTTTATTTGTTTGATTGTATTTACACACGTAATCGGAGTTTCCTTCGTTCGTCGAAAAATTCTAACAGACACGTTGAAAAAGGGTGGAAGAAAAAGGGGTGAAGGGAAAGAAAAAAATAGTATAGATTTATTCGACACAGAAAAAACAAAAACAAAAAAAAGACTATAAAATAGAACTATTTAATAATCTAGTAATCTAAAAATAAATATTATAATTAAATAATATATTTAATAGTAAGAAAAATAATTGTTTAAATTTAACTTCGATATAAGAAATTTGTAAAGTCGTGTGTTAACACACTTCACCTCAACCACCCCTTCTTTCTTTCCTCATTCCACCTTCACCCCTTACCCCTTTTTAGAAGTTTCACTTAGAACGTAAGCGACAAAGTAGGTATAACGTTTTACGTATAAACCTACAAACGTATGTCGCATTATGCACACAGGACTGCGATAAACTCATTAAAAGGAGAAATACGCGTAAACCGGAAGAAACTACTACTACTACTACTACTACTACTACTACTACTACTACTACTACTACTACTATTACTAACACACACACATACATATACATAGAACCGCGGAAATTCGAATTGTGGAAACTCAGTCGTCCGATTCTCTTATAGCATTTCCTCCTTCTACTCTCCTTTTACCCCCTTCTCACCCCTTTTATCCTAAAGGATGGTTAGAGAAACGTAGGAAAGCTTCTGCATTTCTGTTTCAGTTTGCTTGATTTACCTCAAAGAACGTAACACACCTACTGTGTGAAACTTTGAGTTTCTCAAGACGACGAAAATGACGATGGGTGGGAGATTATCATCATTTCTACTATCGTAAGAAAAGTATTTACTTCAAATTATTCATCATTTATAATAATCAATTCATCATATTCTTCTTCTTCTTCTTCTTCTTCTTTGAAAATTTGTATATAATAAAATGTATGAACGTGTGTTATGCAATTTGTAAAGAATTTTATATTAAATATTTCGTCAAGAATGTCATACAATATTTTATAAAGTGTTTCATAAAACGTGTCGTGTTTATTATAACACGTGCATATCATTTACAAATTGAAATTTGTCAAATAACCCTTTACTAATTATTAATATAGAAATTATTCGTGCAAGGATACAATCATTGGAAACAATAATAGTAATATGCAATGAAAAAATATGTTTTTTAAATAAATATTACAATTTATTCACATGCATTGATACTAGGGTAAAAGCAAACAAGTAGTATAACACTAGCAATAGCAATACCATAAACCCACATATTATACAAAAATATTAATAAGCACGTTAGGAAAGATACAATGGAAAGTAGACAAAAATGAAATAAAATGTTTGTTCATGCAATTGAAATAATTGAATGAAAAATGAACTTTGAAAGAAAAAATGAAATGAAAAATAAATCAACAAAAGAATATTAAAAAAAAAAAAAAAATTCAACTTACCATCATTGTTGGTCCTAGCACGTGGTGGAGATGAACTGACAGTAGGGAAATTTCTCGAGACGTTGTCCCTTGGCTGAGGTTGTGGCCCTTCGAGATTTGGACTTGGACTGAATTCAGCTCTGAAATCTACCCTGTCGAAACCTTCGTCGATTCTGTGAGTCAAATTCATCTCGTCCGCTTCTAAATCGCTTTGATATTGTTCCCTTAAGATCCAACGTTGTACTTGAAATTAACAAAACAATAATAATAATAATAATAATAATAATAATAATAATAATAATAATAATAATAATAATAATAATAATAATAATAATAANAATAATAATAATAATAATAATAATAATAATAATAATAATAATAATAATAATAATAATAATAATAATAATAATAATAATAAAATAAAAATAAAAATAAAAAGAAAGAGAGTGTGATAAAAATGATTTCAATTTACAATTAAATATTATATAAGAATACAACGTGTGTTTGAATATTAGAAAATAAAATTTTGATTAGGCAAATATAATTTTATATTTCTTGTTTTATTTTATTTTTTATTATCTTTTTATTTTGTTCAAAACTCTCAGCTGCTTCCATTTCGTCTAATCGCATTTCGCACGTAACGACAGAACGACGATGGGGGGGGGGGTTTATATTTTAAAAAATAAAATTTTTATGGAAATATTCTAAAACAACAACGACAAACATATATATAAAAATGAGAAGAAATAGAAAATGTCAGATATGGTAGGCTAGAAAAATGCCAACGAGTAATACAATTCAATTTCTTTCACCGATATAAGTGAAGTCGACAAAATTTACGAACGAGATAGACAGAAAAAAAGATAAACCCCCCCACCCCCAAAAAAAAAGAGATAAACAAACTTTTGATAGAAATTTTCATAAAATCAAAGAGTACGTGTCACTAGTCGTGCAACTTTGTGATGCAATACACACCACACAAGGAATCATTTTCATCTAACGAAAATGGGGTTGGTATAATATTTCTCAGTAAGCAAACCAAGCAAACCCATATACACGTATAGAAATTTCGAATAGCTAGATATCGTTTTCAAAGGAAACATAATATCCCCATATGCGTGACAGAACCGAAACATACAACACACGCACACACACAGAGAGAGAGAGAGAGATAGAGAGAGAGAGAGAGAGAGAGGGAGTCTACCTATTAACGCTTATTATTGTTATTATTAATTAACATTTAGTGGAGGATTGTGCTTTCGAGGTAGGATGCTGTTAGACTGGTTAATAGATACCTGAAGTCTCAGTCTTCTTCTCATTCTACAACCCCTATCCACCCACCCTCTAACCTCATAGCTTTGGTTTGTTGTGTATATCCCATACTCGTTGCTTCTAATCCGACGTGTTGCTGCTTGATGTGTTATAACTCATGTTTCTGAATAATGCTATGTAGGCAATAGTTCCTCTCTCTCTCTCTCTCTTTCTCTCTATCTATTTCTATTTCTATCTCTATCTAATGTATCTTCTCTAGGGATTGTAACGGTTTATGTCTGCGTGTTTATACATATGTTATAGAACGAACAAACGTACATGTACAAACAGTAACCATATGTGTAGGCTCAAGAGTTACTCCGATGAATCGCTTTACGAAATTGAAAATTGGCTAGGGTTTGTGTGTAAGCTTTACTATCATTCTCTCACTCTTACACACACACACATACTCTCTCTCTCTCTCTCTCTCTCTATTTCTCTCTTTGATTTTGTAGGTATATTGATACGTCGTAAACTAGACTACTATTTTCTATCTTCCTTCTGTCAATGGATTCGCGTATTCATATAAGAGATGATCATTATGATTATGATGATTATGATGATTATGATGATTATGATGTTTGCACGAATACTAATGATATTCACATTTGATTTTCGATTTAGAATGTAAGTTATATAATAATATTCTATAGGATTGTAATTGACATGTGTTAAATATACATACGTCAATTAGTATAAAATGATCAATGGATAATACAAAATCATAATCCGTATGTAGTAGTATTCAATAGTAAATATATATTGAAATGATCTCTCTATATCTATCTATTTATTTAACTATCTTTGTATTTCTATGGGTTATATAGTAGAATAACCATTCGCGATAATTATACTGTTAATGCATACATTGAAACAAATTTAGTATCTACTTAGTCAAGGGTATTTTCTGTTATGGTTTAATATCATGGGAGTAATCTACAAAATGTAATTCCTGCATTACACTCACGAATCGTGATTCCATAAAATTTTATTGAAAAGAATTTTCGTTGAAAATCTATTGTCAATTCTTTTTTTGATTTTTTTATGGGGGTGTATTATGTGATTGATTCTTTAACTGTGATTTTGTATTATCAAAAATGTTTAATTAATGTACCTTTATTATTTTTTTTTTTTATAGCTTTTAGTATTAATTAACTGACACTTGACTGACATATTAATTAACAACAATTAACATTGAATAATCTTATAATGAAAATAAAATTGATTAGCTATATATGTGTATGGGTTTAATTAGGTTAAAGTTTAAGTTAGTAGGTGATACTATTATGGTCATTGACGTTAATTATGAGAACGTACGATTTACAACTGGCACGTGTGGCTTTCAACCCTTCGATCCTTATCCGTTAGAATGGTGAACCAACTACCCACCCAACCACTTCCCATCCTCCATCCTCATATTAACGGATTCCCACGAAACTGGTGGTATCGCAAAATGCGTTTCTATCGTCCTTCCATAAACTGGGTCTGATCGTTCTGCCGATCCTGTACGATCCGATAAGAAAGTGAGCTCGCGTAGTATCATGAACGTATGTGTGTTTGTTCGTTATCGTATATTCACGACATAATTACTACGATAGAATCACTATACATATATATGTATGTATATACACATGTGTAGTTTCATATAGGATTAAAGTTTATAATCTTTAAACTTTGTTCAGAATTAATTGACTCTTCTATACGTTATTAACAAATATAATTGCCATTATTATTTTGACACAGCTTGATAATAATTTGTGTATCCCATTTAAAAAAAATCATCCCATATCCCTAGATATAAATCTAGAAAACATTTTGTGGTATAGACCTAATATATATTTTACATAAAAAATAAATAACATCTAACAGTTAGTTTTAAATATAACACAAGCGATAAAATAACAAATGCCAACTTTACGAATATGACTTATAATAGAATGAAAAAGCATTCTAAAGAAACCCATTTGAGTTTGAGATTTTATTCCTGGCACACAGAGTATAAGTGAAATGAAATGTACGTTTTATGTTTGCCAAAAAAACAAAAAAGAAAAAACTAGATGAAAATGAATATTTTTCGTAGAACAAGATGGATCAACATTTTCACTGAGGTTGCGTGTAAGAATTGAGAGAGAGCTTGTATATGTAATAAAGCTTTCAATGGCCTTGACTATATAGAAACTGACAGTAGAGAAACGTTGCTGTGTGAAACTAAGAAGAACAAAGGGTGTGGGGGTGATAATAATTGTTCCCAGAAGTCCCATAAACGCGTTCGCGTACGCGAGATATCCTAGTACAGGAAGTGGGTGGAGATAGGGTGAACTGGGGGATGAGAAACCTTGCCAAGGGTTGGTTGGACCCTTTCGTTTCTGAACTTGTTTTATCCTATATCTATCTCTTTCACACCTACTACTWCTACTATTACTATTATTATTACTACGCGATACACGTCAAGTTACTTTTCTCTAATAACATTTCTAATACGCGATGAGCCAATTTTCTTTCCTGACAGGATTTGCTCTTGTTACCTATGGTGTAAAGTCTTTTTGACGTTAGAGAAACACCTCTAGACGTGTTTCTTACTACGATTAAAGTTTGTTCTCTGTATAACACATTCTACGTACAACGTAAGTAGATTTTTTTTCTTTTAAGTTTTCAACATGTCATTTTTTTATTTTTTTATTATTGGTTTTGTGAATAAAATTCTATCGAATTGTCAGGAAAATTTGTTTTACATGTTTTTCATTTATTTATAATATTTTAATGTCTGACTCTTTTTATATAAACACGTTAAGTGTCTTTTACTACTTTGTGTCTGTTTAACGTAGTCGCAGTAATACGCGACTGTTACTACTTCAACGCGTCAGACCATATAACCGTTCTTACTACTGAAAATACACTACTTTTTAAAACTTATAATATATTATTAACAAATATCTCTCCCTCAATTTTATTTAAACACACAGGAGTACAAAATTGAAGTAAATGTCGAGTAATAAAACATAAAATGAACGAACGAATGAATGAATGAATGAATGAATTTAAATCTTTAATTTTATATAATACAAAGTTGTAAGATTCATTTAAATCATTCTTATTATTCTTTATTTACTCAACAGTTTAAATATATTCTAAGAGTGGATAGAAATTTCATGGAGTTTTATAAATATAAACGTTAATATAAGTTCACATAAGTTTCACGAACGTAAACGTTGGTCTACTTTGTCTATTTTCTTTAGTTAGTTTTACCTATATTTTTTTTTTGTATTCTACGTGTTTCATTTCCACGAGTTGTGAGCTATATATATATATATATTTTTTTTTTCTTCAGTTTTGATACTTTCTTGTTCCAACCCGTTTACCGAGAGAATCTCTGGAAAGTTAGCATAGCGTTGTGTTTGCATATTCATTCGAATCCATACGAGGAAGCAACCTTCTCTACTGGTTTGTGTAGCTAGAACAGCAGGTACAACACTGATACCTAAAACCCCGTTGAATTTCTACGAGGGGTGGTCCACTACTACTATCTTTGCCCTCAATATTACTGGATGCACATTGCGGAAGAAGCAATTGGCTAGTGGGATGGAAAACAGAAGGTTTGCTGCTAGATTAACCTAACTTTCCTCTTCTATATGCCAGGTGCAATAACTTAGTAATTGACGTTATAAGGATACAAAGGAACTTGACACTAGTTAAACGTTTAATAATCATTTTGTTTCAATTATTTATGATCTTAGTTATTCTATCTCCATTTGTTTAGATCAATACATATGTATATATGTTATCAATATATATGATGATGATGATGATAGTTATGAATTTTTTCTATCATTTATTTTAGGTTTAGGTTAATCCTTTGAGTGCTATGGACGCATATATGAGTTTGATAAAAATTCCTAACGTATACTATTAAAGCATATAAGTGTTTTTTTAAT